CTGTTAAGTCGACCCATCGTTATAACCGATATATCGTTATATGTGGTATCGTTATAAGTGGACTGCAGTGTATATCAAATACTGGCTGTATCTCCCTTTGCAGCTATGATAAGGACTCCTAGCAATCTTGAAAGTAGGAATCGAGTATCTGGCCAAAACAGCAAGGCCTTAAAATCTACAGAAGTGTTAAGAAAAGGTAAGTGACAATTATATAGGTAGCAAAATCACTTTCCTAGAGCGAAGCAGCCAGCTGCACTAGATAAGCTGTCATGTTTAATGCATATAACCTGCCAGGGATGAAATTTATTATACTTTTACACATTTCCTCTTTATTTCAGTGCACTTAACATTTTGAATTTTATTAAACCAGTAAAAAATATTTAGTTCTACAAATAATGGCGACTGAATCAAATAGAACAGTATTCAACTTGGTATGTGAAATCGTAGAATATTTTGCACACCCTTCGAATTTGGCAGTTTCAGAATTTCCCTGGGACACATACTTCTCCATATGGGCTTTACATGTTTTCTAGAGAAAGCTTCTGGGCCATCATCGTGAAATAATTTTTTTAATTAAGCCATCATAGCAAGTGTTGTACTTCATTTGTTTTTTGCAAAGCAGTTGTAGGGTTCACATATCTCTATTTTCAAGAAATATGAAATGAATGAATGAAAGTATAGTTAGGCAGCTAACTGAATGATATAATGACCCGTATGGACTATGACCACTGGAAGGGTGGAGCGGGTGTTGTTACACGTGGACTTACAGGCTGTTAAGGTTAGATAGACAAATCTGGCTAATTGTGCGTAAGTATTAGGGCATGTCAGTTCAGATTAAATACCAGAGAAAGATTACAGGCAGCAGTCCTGATAGATGTGAACTGTTGGAAGCAGTTCAAGCTGGAAAAGAAGTGGTGTACTTAATTGTGACACATTTGTTGAAACTTTGAAAACCAGGAAAGTTTCTCGAGCAGGCAATGTTAAGTGATGTTTTTGATGACTGTGACATTGCACACTGTCACTCTGCACATGTGTCTGTTTCCTTATATATTTTCTACCAAAGCCACAAACAAAGATAGATGGCAGTTAACTCGCGTCCTGTGTTTCCTGTTTTATGCAAGTGTCATTCTACACTTTATTACCTTAGAAGTACTTGTTGCTGGGCAGGTTGGTATAACATTATTAGGAAAAATTCTAGACGACACAAATGTGTGGTGCTGTGTAAATATTTTCTGTAGTTCAGCTGCGACTGACACTCTTTTTGTGTGCTTTTTCATTTTTCCAGTGGTGCTTAGGCATCTATAATTTTCCCCCTTAGCTTAATTACCTCCCTGAAGCTATGCATCATCTTGCCTTTAACAGCCATTGTTAAACTATTGTATGTGGCATTGTTGATGCAAAATGACCTTAGAGTATATGCTAAAGCTCCTGCAGGATCACCGGCTGAATGTGACAACCAGTTCACCATTTATAGGACCCGAAGTGTTGACATTTTCAATATATCTGTTCGCACAGTGCTTCATTGGAGTCATGCAAGCTTAAAATGTGGTGCTCTCACAGAGAAATTTTTCTTCCTGTGCTGTGACCAACGGGAAAACTATGTAGACAACAACGAAAAGAGATCACAACTAGGCTTAGCTGTGTGATGTCTGCCTCAATAAAAATGTAATAAATTAATGCAGTTGTGCTTATATCACCATGGTGTTGCCAGTTTATTACTACATTTATATGAACCTCTGCTCGCTCCACAATGGTGTTCCTAAGGGTGTACACAGTCTTTCCTCTGAGACAGCATTGCCAGAACTAATTTCACTGTCACAATCTTGAACAGGTGTGCAACAAGCATGTGCCAGTGCAGAGAACACAAGAGAAGTGGTCACTGCTTCCATGTTCAAGGTCGTATGCACGCACACCTGACTATGATTTTGCAGTGTCTTACATTTTGAGTGGAGTATACATCGTGATGGCTGGAGCAGTCTCTGTGGTCACCAGCTAGACAATCACAATGTGCATATTGTTGCTTGAGACAACTGTTTAGGACAAAAAAAGGGCACCGTAGAAAAAAATATTTTTAGGCTAATGTAAGGGCTTGTGGTGAGGAGACTCTCAAAAGGTATATGGTGAGTCATCTTGCAATAGAGAAGCAATATTTATACCTAGTTTATGTTAATAGGAGTCTGCGAAACATTGGCCATAGAAGCTTGTGGCTAGAGAAAGATGATGTCCAGAAGATACCCTCCTGAAATGTTAACCTGCACCGTCCTCCCTTGGCCTTCTTGGTGCACTGGAATTTTTGCCCTATAGGTACTAATTCTTTCAGTGGGTACACTGAAGGGCTTCTGAATAAGCTCACTCTTATAACCTGCTTTACTTGAGGGCAAATCCTACTGTTGGAACTTGTTTGCTTGGCAGAAATTTTTAACAGGAAAAGAATCTTCACTCGTTACACAAATAAAGCTACCGCATTGCAAGATTACTATGATGTTATGTACACAGACCTCCCTCATATAACTCACTAAAATGTCACCACTTACCTCTATGGTGAGCCTGATTATGCCTTAAGACAGCATGTAAGTTTCTTGATCCTATACTTTTTAATCAGTACATTAACCTTGAAAAAACAAGATCATCACGTGCAGTCCGTAAAACCAGTGCTTATGAACTGCAATGATGCCATGGAAAGCATTAGCAAAAGTAAATTCACCCTGCTGGAAAGAAAATTCTGCATGAAGCCTGTAAATCTACTGTTAACAAAGTCTTCTCGACAACTTCACTATGTCTATTTCTGTAATTTGCATAATCCTGTTTCATACATACCTTGCTGTTCACCCCATAATTATTGACCTCTGAGTGTTACTCAAGTGACCATGCTCATTTAACATACCTGAAAGCCTCAGTGCTAACCTAATGAAATTGGAGACTTTGATAAAGTAATGCTCTCTTATGCTCACCCCTTCAAAAAAAGTTTTTAGCATCTCCTGAAAACCCATTCTTTAAAAACTTGATCATCAGAGATGCGATGTTTCTCCACACCTGATGACAGACATTTGTTCAATTACAGCCACATTATAACAACAAGCAGCCTTTGGAAGATGCTTGAACATGTGCCATCATCTCAGGTCAACATGTTTCCTGAAACCACCTTGCTCTTAGTTATGCGACAGAATGATTTTCGTAAATCATTTTCTTGCTAAGCTCAACTTGCCCCATGACAAACTGTGTGTTTAATTTTAGACCATTCTTGGGGAGCTATTTTTCTTAATAACTAAAGAAAACCCGATAAAGTGAAGCATGAGCTTTTAAAAGGAAATTTGCAAAACATGCACAATCATCTCCAATACCTAGCCTGAGTACATCTTTCAATAATAATGATCATTTTCATTTTAGAGCACATATCTGATGGCACAAAATCTGGAGTACCAAGGAGTCTGTCACAGGTATTTTTCACTTCTTTATTGGGGGCCATGCAACAATTTTAAATTATTGATGCGATATACTAGAAGTTTACTGCAGTGTGAATCACTTGCCACAATTAAAAAAAAATAATTATGGGGGGAACATATGGACTCTTTACAAAGGTTGAAGTTGGTGCTGATGCCGTCTGTCGCATGACCAGTAATAAGACAAAGCACGCCGCATCGCATTAGGCCTAATAGCAGTGCTACGCTTCCATTTCACACACACACGCGCGCGTTATGTATGCTTTACTGCAATACACTGCAAGCACTTCACCCCATGACACTGCTGTATTGCGGCAATGTTAACTTTGAAAAGACCTTTACGGGTTAGCAATTGAAGCTCGACAATGCTCCCAGCAATGAAATTTCTATTTTATTACATTTTTTTTTCATTTCTATACACTTGCCTAAACTAGTGTTATCAGCCGTCCCGAATTTTGCTGGACTGTCCAAGACTTTGCCCGCGCTGTCCCAGTCGGGACAAATGTCCCCGACTTTTTCCGGACTGCTCAGTAAACGAAAAAAAGAAAGAAACGTTTTGCGTTATAAAAGGCATGCCAAATAACGTGCGTCCAACTAATCACATAGACAAAGAAATGTTGCTGTGGTTAGCTGCAAGGAACTTTAAACACTTCAGCTGAACTTTAGCGTCAACTTTTACTAGAGCATTCTAGAGCGAGAGAAAGTGTCACGAAGAGCACATAGCAAAATTTAGTGCCACATCAAGAGACCGACGCAATGAAAAGAAGAAATAACGGATTTGTTTGGAAGGCACCGCAACAAAGAAAACTAATTTCCTCACCCACACACAACTACCTTCACTGTTTGTTACCCCAATCTAAACACACACTGCTAAGCAAACAAATTGCAATCATCTGTGACTGCTTAATAAAGCCACTCGGACAAGAACGTTCTCTAATTCCAACTTGTGCATTCCGTATCTATCTCGCGCACTTACGCAAGGACAAGCTTCAATGAAAGCGTTGGCACAGTATATACTTCCTCCCAAGTGACACCAGCTGTTTGATCGGTCCTCAAGCAACACGCATGCACCTACCATACATCCGCGTAGTACATGCATCAGACCAATATTCACAAATCGCGTTCCAAAGGCCTTTATTTTATGCTCGTTGTCATTGCTTGTAGATTTGGTGGCAAACACTTCGGGCTGGTAGGTGTTAATTCTGTGCTTCGGGCGAATGACGTTAACTACTCGATAAGCACGGATGAGAAGCTCCTGAACACGGCGACATCACAGGAATTAACAAAAGCGGCAGCGACTTGCGTATGAATCACTTTATAACCACGACCTCACGGGCAGAGGTGGTTCTCGCCATTTCAAACAGATTACAGTCTAATCCAACACCAACATCGGAGAAAATAACATCACGACTAGAATACGATGAACCCGCCACAGACTGTGTGTCAGAAGCTAGTGAGGAACTCTACCTGAACCACAGAATAAAGAACGCCTAAATCGCCTGAAAAATGTTTTTCAACACACCGAATTTAACGCCATCTATTCATACACTTTAGGCCAAGTCAAGCCGGTTTTAAGCGGCTACTGGGTGAACCGAACGTTTTTGCCTCGAAAAGGTTCGTGCCACCGGGTGAACCGAAACACTTCCTAGGTGGGCCGAGCCTCCTGGCTGATCTACGCAACGGCACACTTGGCCTGTGAATTTTCTGCTGCATGGGCGCGCATTTTGAAGACGTCAACAGTGCTGTTGGTCGCGGTGTCTCTCGCAAGCTTTCAAGTTCTGCCGTGCAGCTTGCTCCTAAAGCGGTTGAATGCCGTCGCACCGGGACGTCGGTTTTGGCCCACGCGCTTCGGAGAGTCAGAAAGAGTTCATCATTGGCTTCATGGAGCAGCATCCCCTTCTCACCCGCCGGTCTCATGTGGTCTGTCCCGAGCCGCTGCCGGAGTTCGACAGGCGTGCTCTTTGGCGGCAACTGGCGGCGAAGCTTAACGCCTTGGGCCCCATTTCAAAGACGACACCCGCGTGGCGTGCTTGGTGGCGCAGGCAGGTGCATGAAGCGAGGCAACTCGCGACTCGTGGGTGAGTGGGCGCTTTTGTTATTACTATTTTGGTCTCACTTTACTAGCTCCGTTTGTGCATATCTGCAGAAGAAACTATCTCCCGAGGTGGCGGTTGCGCATCCTCGATGTCGTAGGAACGCTGCCCCGACCAGTCGTTGCCGATGCTGCCTTCGAGGCTCCTGAAAATGCGGTAAGCGGTGTAATCGAGTATAATCGCTTTTATTTCTCTCATTACTTTGCAACATTTACTTCGAAAAATTCAGTGGCTCTCAAACAATGTTGCAGCGTGTCAGTCGCTCATTATTTGGTCGGGGATTTTGTCACGGCCTTGTACCAAATTTGTGCTTTTTTTAAAATTAAATGTATATAAGGAGAGGTTCCGTACGTGTGCCTCTGTACACACTAGAAGCACATTTGCACCTGCAGCCAGATGTTACCAGATTAAAGTAGCATCAACACATTCTTAAGACATTGTAAAAGAGATGGTTGTCGTTTCCTTTATATGCAGTGTTAACCTCTGATTTTACAGTTTTCATCGCTGAGTATCAGCAAGCCAGTGATGCTGCTGTTGGCATTACTTCTACAAATCAGCACAGTTCCGCTGTGTTTTGGAACTCTGTGTCCTGCATTGCATTCAGCTTATGTTGCAGAAAGCACGGTTGGGGTTCACCTGACGATAATTCACTCATTTTTGGTTATGTGCTCTATGTGCAGGTGACGAATATGCTGCTAGTGCGTCAGAAGCTGCTGTCTTTCAGTGACATTACACTGTGATGGCATGTCACTGAGTGAAACTGAAGGTGTCCTCAATTTTGTTGCACCTTCTGGATGCAATTCATGAAAGTGTCATGCCAGTGCCGCATCAGTTCCTCCAGCGTTAGTGCAGCATGACACGAGCTGTTTCGGTGCAGCAATCATATCGAGAGCAAAAGTGCAGTATACCTAGCCCTACTTGCGCGAGACGAGAACTCGCGGCGAAGCTAGTGCTTATGTGCCAATGAACTCTTGCAGCACAACGTCAAATCGAGTGCAGAAGCACAGGTGGCATGAGCTGCACTCGCCGAATCGAGAACCAAAGTGCAGCACTCTTAAACTAGTGCAGAAAGTGCAGCCAAATCGAGGAAATTTTAAAAGTGTTTTATAAAGTAGCAGTGTTAAAAATATGTTGGATGCATTCTCACAGACCCCAATACTCTTCTTGGGGCTCTCGACACCATTGTTTTTAAAGTGACAACTCGGAGATGTTTAAAATTAGTGTCAGTACTCGTTTAATTGCAGGGTATTGCTCGCAAACATTACTAGAGAGGAGTGAGTGTGCTAACCAATATTTAAACAAAACACAAGTATGGTATAGTATATAAAGTGACCACAATCTAAATTACTTTATGAGCAGCTCACAATTGATGTAGAACAAAATCTCAAGCTCTTAAGTGCATCAGTGTCATGAAAGTGTCATGCCAGTGCCGCATCAGTTCCTCCAGCGTTAGTGCAGCATGACACTAGCGGTTTCGGTATAGCAGTGTCTGGCTCACATATCTGGCACTTCTGTACAGGACCAAGTCCCCAGCATGGCGGTAGAGGTTGTGCTAAGTGAAGAGTCTGCCACAAGTGAGGCCACTGATCCAAGCCAAGTCACAGTACCAAGCCAGGGTCCCACCCTGCTGCAAGCAAGGCAAACCAGCAGGGTGTCTGTTGACACAGCTGAAGGAACAAGTGGTATATCAGGTAAGTTTCACTGTGTTCTTTTGTTTATGGTTTTGTTATGTTTGTGCAGCAGCATGCAGTGACAGTGTGCACTGATGTTGCATTGTAGTCACTTTTTTTCTTTGCTCAGCAGGTGACCATCAGTACAGCTGTCCACCTTGCAGCAATGTACCTGTTGGAGAGCTAGAAGAAGGTGGCACAGGCTTTGCATCTGGCAAGTCTTTGTGATCTGCAAGCTTTTAGCGCCAACTACTTATTATGTGCACATGAAACGTTACTGCCACTCCTATTGCATTCCTTACTAGATATTCACTACAAACTTGTCGCTATGCCAGTATCATTTTTCAAAATATTCTTATTGAACTATAGACCAATTTTTCTTACATCTCATTGATGCAAAATTCTTAAATGCATAGTATGAGAACACATTATTGAATTTCTAGAGTCAAATAACATTTCATCTGAATCTCAACATGGATTTCGACGTGGTTACAGAACCCTACCCAACTCAGCGAATTCACTCATGATATCATCGCGGCTCTCGATGTAGGTTACCAAATCGAAGTGATCTTTATTCATTATTTAAGAGTATTGGATATTGTATAGCACTAGACTATTTAGAAAGCTCTCTGGTATCCTTAAAAGACCCCAGACACTAAAAGTGTTGTTTGCTACATTTTTAGTGTAATTTGTAGCTCTGCATCTGGTAATTCTGAAATTGGATCCTAAATCTACTGATGGGGGGGGGGGGGGGGATCATATTATTGAAGCTAGCATTGTTAATTCAGAACAATTTTGCATCAGTTCGAACTTTCTGTATTGACCTGTATTTTTTTTTCATGATCAAATCAAAAACAGTCGTGATATTTTCATATGGCTTTCTAGGAAATAGTATGAAACTTTGATCAAATTCAAGCCAGTTGTTTATTAACAAAAAAGTGGGACATATCTGTCCCACTGATGCACGAACAGCTTTTTCAAGAGTGGTAAATACTGTCCCACTAGCGTACCTCCTAACGGCTACTTCATTGGGTTTTCTCGGCGTGGAATGGCCCGAAACAGGTGGTACAGAAGGGCACTTCACAAACCAAGCATAGAAATTTTGTGCACACCTCTTTCCCAACAGTGGAACGCCACCTACACTTGCACCTCTTGGGGACAATCACGGGGTTGTGGTCTCGTCCAGCAAATCTCGCGTCATCATTCACAGTGGCTATTTTCTGGGCACGTTTTTGCCCCCTCTTTTTCTAGCGGTAGGGCCAACTGCCCTGCCCTCTGAACTTCTGCTCATTTCAAGAGGCGGCCAAGAAGGAATAAGAAGTACATGTACGAAATGTTACTGTTCAATGAGAGCTGAAGAAATGAGTTCACAATCGCCGCATCCAAAAGGAAGTTGAAAATTTTGTACCAAGGCTTCTTGAAGCATATGCCGGTGCGGTAGCAATATTTTTTCCAGTCAAACTTCTCAATAGCATTCACCCGGGTATTGTAGTCTGCTATTGCCTTAGGGCATGTTACATCGATGAAGGATTCATTCGACAGCTTGCGTGTCACCACCGCAGTGTCTTCTGGCTGGTGGAATTTGATAGAACATGCACATCCTTAGTGTCACGCCTCTAATAAGCTGTAACTAGACCTTCGGACTTCCAGATGTATTCGCTTTTCTTGAGCTTGTTGTCTTCCTTCATCTTCTTGGGCAGGCCTCTCCTGTTCACCCACAGTCCCAACAACAAGGATGTTATTATTATTGTTTTTTTGAACAGCTTGCTATAAGAGCAGGGCCCGCACGGGTCCTTCAAAACCTTGGAAACCCTAGAATTTGAAAGTGTCATTTTCAAGGTCTTAAGTACCCTTGAATATTGCGGTACCTGAAAGTGGTGCATTAAAACCCTTAAATTCCGTCCACGGTGCCTTAAGTCCTTAGATTATTTTTCTTTCTTTTGTAAAGTAGCAACAACCATTGAAGAATAGCTGACAAATCTTATTAAGTAATGTTTGTTTCGGTATCGATGCTTTGCTAACGTTTTCTCAGTGCCCGGTGAAACAGCGTCCCCCACTCACTAAAAACGATCGATTACCGGAGGGGAAAAAAAATGCATCGCGTTCGCACATTGTTTGCTGAAAGGTGCATGGCTAATGTACTTAAATGTAAGTGCCTTTACAAATCTTACAAGTGTAGAAGAACTTTGCGGGGCAGACTCGGGCTGCGCGTGAGAGGAGGTCGGAAGGGAAGGCAGTTGTCGCTGCTATGGTCACACTGTGAGATGCTGTGTCGTGCTCCCATATGGGCTGCAGAAATTAGGCGTCTCATTCTTCCTTCCAACAACCACCGCCAACAACAACACCGTGAGAATGTAAAAAGTTTATGGCCTTAAGCGATGCCGAGTGTTCGTTCAGCAGCCGACCACGTTGAGAGCGGTTGTAAGTGGCCTTCCAATCCAAGCCAATCCTTCCTCCGTGTCCACCACAAATCCGCCATCGGCACTCATGTTGCTGTATTGTGTGTGCATTTTTCATTGGCAATGGACATTTAGCCTGCTTGTTCGTCACTTCCCGTTCAGCTTCATCAGAGTACGTATTATGCTGCGCGCGTTGGACGTAGATGTAGTGGTGTTTGTGTGCAATGCGCTGGCAGTGCGCCGGACCCAATGAGTTCACATCATGCTAGATGCAGACCATGTGCAAAGACATTCGATTTATTATCAATGGGGAAGTCTGCGCTGAAAATCCATCAGAGCAGTGCGAAGCACATCGGCAGCATAAAGGACGCAGCAAGTAGCTCCTTGATAAAATATGTGACCCCCAACGAGAGTGGTGAATTCATTCGTTCAGTACCAACGCAGTCCTCAGATTTGAATACTGCGTGCAAAGCCCACTATGCAGGGACCGAAGCAGAGATATTGTGGGCATTGAAGGTTGTCACTTCACATTACTCGTAGAGTTCATCTGCACACGCAAGCGAAATGTTCTGGAAAATGTTTTCCGACAGCGATGTGGCGAAGGCCTTTATGTGTAAAGAAAAGAAGTGCGCTACCTTGCGTGCTTTAATTTGGGCCCCTTCTTTCAATCGTTCGTCCACCAGGCAATTGAGAAGTATGATTACTACGTTGTTTTGTTTAATGAATCTGCAAATGATTACCTCCATCAGAAACAGATGTACGTTCACATCAGATACTGGTATGCATCTCAAAGGATAACTATCAGGTACTTGACGTCCGTTTTTTTGGGCCATGCAATGGCGGATGACATTGAAGATAAGTTGTTGAAGGCACTGGAGCCATTGCCACTTGCAAAGATTCTTGAAGTTTCCATGGACGGACCAAACTTTATATTTGAAATTTTTCAGAAGCACTTGCAAGAAAACTATCAGGTAAACTGTCTTGATTTAGGCACTTTTGGTCTACACGTGGAGCACAACACATACAGAGCAGGTGTAACTGTGAGCTAGTGGGGATTGGACATTTTCCTGTCTAGTATAGGTTTGTTATTTGAAGATTCCCCAGAAAGGTGAGAGGACTTCCCAATGGTGTCCGGGAAGACAATGTTTTCTGTCAGGATTGTTGCCTATCGCTGGGTCAAAAATGTTCCAGTGATTGAACGTGCACTGGCTCTGTGGCCTGATGTGGCAGTGTGCAACCGCAGCCATGTCTGCGTAGAGCACACAAACAGCCAGTGCTTGTTCTGTGGGGCGAAAGCTTGGGGCAGTATCAGGCCCTGACGTGGTCAGCCTGACAACTAGGCTGTGCATGCTCCTGATACACCACTTCAGAGCCCGCAGAGCAAAAACCGGCTGCTCGAGCGCTCTACACAGACGTGGCCGCGACTGCGCATCGAGTCTGCAAGACGTAAAGAGGTGAACTAGCCAAAATGCGCTCCATTTCAGAACTTGCAAAATTTCTGTGGGGACTCGCTAATTCAAGTAAAACTGAACTTCGCCCTCGCAATTGCACTAATTCTCAAGCCTTTCCTGATGGAATATCAGGTGGACTAACCACTTGTATTCTTTCTCGCAAGCGATTTTGAAGCAATTGTCCGGAAGTTGCGCACTAAGTTTTTGAAGTGCTCAGTTCTCTCTGCATCAAGTGGGCTGACAAGCCTGTTAAAAATCAACATTAAAAATGTGAACAATCACACTGCACTTGAGAAAGTGGACATTAGACATACAGCTGAGCAAATTTTGAAGGAATCTAAGGTCAGTGCAAAAGAAACATTTGTATTTAAAATGGAATGTAAGCAATGCCTTTTCAGTGTGACGAGAAAGGTTCTTGAGAAGAGTCCTCTGAAGTTCTCCTTGGTTAGAGGTCTCTCCTCGCTGGATCCTTGGCAAATGTTCACCAAGCTAGACCAATGTTTAGAAGGTCTGAAGAATGTCTGAATGCGCTCATCGCTGCTGGAAGGTTGACTGATTACCGTCAATACACTGTGCTTGCTGAGTATGCCGAAATGCTACAGATGGAAAAGCACAAGCTGCGTTTGTTCGAAAAGAGTTCGAATAGGCTAGATACATTTTTTTAGAACTGCTCAAGTTCAACTCATCGTACAGTGAGCTATGGAGAGTAGTGGAACTTTTGCTTGTGTTGAGCCACGGCTAGGCAGCTGTTGAGAGAAGGTTTAGTGTAAACAAGCAAGTTTCTGTGAAAAACCTCAGAAGCCTGTCATGGATCGTGCAATGTGCTATATCTGATGCCTTTGATTAGGCAGGTGCAATCCTTAACATCCCTATAACAAAGGAACTGAAGACCTCTGTTTCATCTGCAAGGCATCGTTACTGTGCACATTTGGAAGAGGTAGCAACAAGAAGAAGTGAATGATTCAAAATGGTGCCTTGTGGAGGACGAAATTTATAATTTAAGGAGAAAGAAAGTGAAGCTAGAAGCAACAGTTGCTGCAGCAGATGAATTGGCTTTGAAAGTCGAAGAGACAGGTGATGTTACACACACAGTGAGGTCAAACATTCTCAGGAAAGCAGCAAGAAGCAAAACACAAGAACTGCTAAACATCAACGAAGAAATCATAACAAAACTGCTGGAGCTTTCATGAACACTTTCCATGTGCTCCGCTGTAGTCTTAAACGAGTCTTAAACTGTTCAATAATTCAACTCGTCTTAGGCTGTTCAGTAAGGGTTCAATAAATTTGTTGTTTTTTTTATGATGATTACGAGATCAAATACTAATATGGGTCATATTATTTCGGGCCTCGAAAGTCCTTAAACA